TCTAAAACACAATCAAGCGTGTTATCGAGTTCATTGTCACTTATGTCCATATCCACATCATCTTCATCTTCAATATCGAAAAGATCGTCGATATTAAGAGGAATTGACATAGTAAGCAAAATATAAAATTTATTTGGTTTTAAGAAGATTCATTTATTGACAATATTTTGTACAGTTCAATATTCAATACAATAGATTAAAAAATTAAAAAAAAAATTGAGCCGCACAATTCTTTAATCGATCGTGAAGAGTTGCTATAATCAAAAGAATTGCCAAACGTTAGTACTAAAGAAATAGAAGAATTATTTAAACGAATTAAAAAAAAAAAAAAAATTTAATAATGTAATTATTACGAAAATAACGATTATTCGAATTTGATACTTAATGCGGTGCATAATGGTAGTTTTTAGCCACCCGACCTATGATGTAATCCATTTCATCCAATGAGGGGGGGAATTTGCATTCGTCCAATGAGAACTTGGGGGGAAATTAGTAAATCCTCCAACTATTACGTACTGTACCACAACGTATCCCTATACGTATTACTACGTCACACGTGACTCCCTCCCTGTATCAGTTGTTCGTTGACTCCGGTCTAGATTAACAATAGAATTGAAGTTTATAAACAAAAGAATTAGAGTTGGATAAATGATTAATAAAAAAAAAAAAAAAAACTTACATTATGTATTATAGAGACTCGGCAGATTGAGTCAGTTATTAATTCCTATTCAGTTGTTTAATACGATTAAACATATAGAACCAAATAATATCTTTCTATGCGAGGGATTTTTGCCGGTGCTACTCATTTTGTACTTCGTAGACTCACCTAATTTCACAGACTATCAACTCACAGGCAAGTTTATTTCGTAGACAGTTTATTGTTGACAGCTCATTGATAGACAATTATTTCATCGACAGCTCATTTCTACAGAAAAAGTAATTCTAGTATCTGTCATTGTCACAGATTATGGTTAGTGCGATTTGTAAGAAAAAAGAAAAACTTTTTTGCGAAATGAGCTGTCGGTGAAATAAACTGTCTATGGAAATGAACTGTCGGTTAAATGATCTATCTCAATGTAAAATAAACTTGTCCGTAAATTGATTGTCTATAAAATATGCTTACGTACCTGTGAATCATTTGTCGAAGATTGTAGTGAAATGATACGAATCTATTTTTGATATTGTTGAATAAACCCATCTCGACAATTTAAACTCATAAAAAAATTTGTTTCCCATCTGTGTTATTCTAAAAATGGATGAGAAATCTCGTTTTAACAGAATATATACACTACTATTGTTATCCTCACTAATAAGCATGTGTCAAATTTTCCGTGAAAATATATAATAATGGTCGTAATAATTCATTTTATCTGATAATGTATATGCAAGATTATTAAGTAACAAAAGTTCACAATTACATAAATAAATGATATCGATATATTAAATTAGTAGTCGAAATCTGCATTAAATGTGACATATTTGCAAATTAGTAAAATTTTTAAATATTTCAATTTATTGTAAATATAGTTAGTTCCATTTAAAATACGTCATAATGACGTATGATCATGTGTGAAGTCAGATAACAACAAACTTATAAAATCTTAATAAATTACTAGTACTCTTAATTTTTTAATTAAGGTTGAAAATATGGATTTCAAAACAGACGAACCTATAGCAAGAGCTTTATATGATGAAATTTTACAAACTGCTTTTTTGCGCATTACTAGTAGTAATTCACAAAGAAAAAGTAGACAACAACTAATTTCAGAGCATGAATATAGATTGAATTACTTTGATCAAGCTTATAATGAAAATTTATTTATAGTTTATAATACCTATGAACAAAGAAACATAAAACCAACACCGAAAATCAAATTCACGTTGGAAAATAGAATATCAATAAAAAATTTACGAATCAATAAGGAATATCATGGAAAATTTTTAGTATGTAGAGTAATAGCAAAATGCATAAAAATAAACGCTCTTTTAACAATTGTGGAGGATCCGGAAGGTGACGTGGAACGACTCGCTTTGTATAATTTTAATCAGAAATCAGTCTCTCAAGGAAGAGGACCAATGAAACCACTTTCTGTCGATCATGCTTCAAAGTATCTACCTATAGGTACACAAATTGTTATCGGAAATCCATCCTATCAAATTGCTGGTGACGGAAACGCGATTATTTATTCGGATAATCCGGATGATGTTATCATGATTATTGATAGAAAAATTCAACTACGTGACGCAGCATGGCGCACGGATCGGCCAAAAGGAACGTATTCTATTATCGGAAATAAAAAATCTGTTGATGAATGTCGTTTTCGTGGAAACGAATATTTTATGTCTAGTGATTTTATGGCAGCTGTTCGTGAATATTCTGGTGGTATTAAGCTGGAACCATACAATATCGCTTTGCTTGCTAACCGTGCTGAAGCCTACTTGAGACTGCAACAGTTTAAGAAAGCGCTTGCAGATGTAGAAATGGTTCTTAAACTTGAACCTAGTCATCTGAAAGCAGCTTTTCGGAAAGGTAAGGCTCTTTGTGGTCTTAAACGTTATCAAGAAGCCATTATAGTACTTCGAGATTTGTGTAAAAGAATAAAAAACCATAACGATCGCGATGATAACGTTTCGATTAAAAAAAGTGCTATAGGATTATTGAAGCATATAGAAATGTTATTATACGAAAGTCAAAACGGAAAATATGATTATATATATATTATCGATGAATTGCATGAAAAAGCTAAAATTGAAGATAATGAAATTGCTAATATCTGGATCCATCAAGGAGGTCCAAGATTGGATCACGCTGATTACTTATTTGATGATATTGAAATTCGCCTTTCGAAAGGTAAAGGAAGAGGATGGTTTGCCAAATACGATATCCCGGAGCATACCCTTTTGATGGCCACAAAGCCATTTGAAATTGCATACAAAAATGAAGCACCCGAGCATACACTATCTATGATTTCCAAAGTTGTAACTCCAGATTGTATCATTGACACGTCTGTGGTAACAGGAATAGAATTAGCAATTCGTATTACTCAAAAGCTCTTGATAGAACCAGAACTTTGTCGTGAATTTTATCAGTTGTATTGTGGACCAAACCAATTACCTATAGAAAAACTTAATAAAGGCATGTTACGTTGTGTCGATATTAATAGAATTATGAAAACATTCGCATATGTTAGTTTTGAACAAGTTGATAGAACAAATAATATTAATCATGAAAATAACGGATTAGGAATATGGATTATGCAATCTTACTTTAATCATTCATGCGCCGATGCAAATGTTTACAGACTTTTCCTTGGAGATTTGATGTTTATACGAACACTTCGACCTATTTTAAAAGGAGAAGAACTAGTTATCTGTCATTACGATTTGACCCTTCCCTATGAAAGACGTGCACGTTACCTTAAATCAATGGATATAGATTGTAAATGCCGACTTTGCATGTTGGACATTTCAGAAGGACAAGAAAATAAATTTCGTCGTGATAAACTCATCAAAGATTGTAAAAATTTGCTTACCAAACCTTTTAACATCAAAAAATTTGAAGATACGGTTACTGAATTACGCAGTATTCGAAAACATCTTGAACTAGATCCTCAATCATTAGAGCCTAGTGCAGGCTTGGCATTTGTATACGCAAATCGAGGGGATTTCTGCAAGTCACTTCCTATTCGTAAAGAAATATATAATTATTCAATGGGTGCAGTATTATATCGTACTAGCACAGTTTTTGGAATTGCGTTTGATTATTATGCACTTGGAAAGAAGAAACATGCAAAGATATGGTTTGATAAAGTTTTGAAAGAATTTGCTGAATATATAAGAGGAAAGTTTAAAGATGATGAGACTTGTTGGAGAAAGGAAGCATTAAATTTGTTGGAAAGGTTTACACTTAATGATTTCTTAATCGCGAAATGTTTAGGTTTGGTATGAAAATTCCAAATTTAGATATGTTAGCTACATTTTGTTAAAATAAGGTTAAAGCTTTTTTGTAAATAGTACGATATATAGTAGATAATCGATTTATTGCATTAATCATTCATAGTATAAAATTTTGTTTTTTATGGTATCGTAAATCGATTTTAATAAGTAGAGTAAGTAAGAAAATTTAAATAAATTAAAGGTTTCAGTATGCTTTATAAGTTTATTGAGTTTCATGATAAATCTAATCTCGGCGAAAGTTATTCGGAAGCATAACGTGTTCAATTACTAGGTATGACCTACAAGGATCACAAGACCACAAAGCCGGGGATCATGACCTCGACATTTGGATCCAAACCCATGGATCAATTGTGATCGTCATATGAAATCCGCAGGACGAAAAAAGAAAATTTATCCAGGAATGGTCATGAGGGACATTGCATCACAACACGCGAAATTAATAAGCCAAATGCCGAATGACCGCATGATTTATGCAAGCTGAGAAAAGAGGCTGAAACAAAAATTTCTATAAAACATGCATGTCGTCCTCAATAAGTTAAAGGGGCTTATCAGCACTGTATTGATAAAGGCCAATTTGATGAATTGAATTTCTTTGATCTTGATATAATTGTTTTTTTTTAAATAATTTACTATTATCAATTTAGTATTGCTTTCGTTGTGCTGGATTGAATATTGAGGATGTCTATTAAATCATAGAATACGGAATACGCCCAATCGTGCATCACTTTAGAAACCAAACCTGTC